CCGACGCGCATGGGCTGATGGCTCAGGGCAATGGGGCCGAGACCACAACCCCAGGGCCTCTGGGACATGGGGCTCGGGCTCACCGTCCGAGCCGAAAGCTGATCGTGGCTCGGTGCTGAGGCGCCCCGGCAGGGGGGCGGAGACATGCGCGCGGCAGTGCGAGGAGCCGTGCGCGGGGCAGGCGGTTGGGGATTGGCGCCGCGGGCGCCTTGCCGCCTCAGACGGCCGCGCGCCCTCGTGCCCAGGGCGTCGGGCACTGGGCTTCATGCTCGGCTCAGTTGCGAGGGCGTCGCATGTCAAGGTGAGGGCATGGGCTCGGGCCCGATAGCCACGGGCGCAAGGTTCGGGGCCAGTCGGCGGAGGAGCTGGCGCTCGGGAGTTGGAGCTCGTCGGGGGCCGAGCCCAAGAGGGCTTAGGGCTTGGGCTTCTGATGCGTCGCCTCGGCGCTACCGCGCGCAATGGCGCTGGGGACGCGGCTCAATGCGCATGGCGGGGACGGGTGATTAAGCGCGTGCGAGCGTGCCTTTACGGCCTGCAACGCGCGGCGCGTTTCTCGCAGTGGGGTCTCAGCGCGTGGCTCGGGGTTTTGACACCCGAGCTAAGCGCGCCTGGGGCCGTCGGGGGCCGCGGCGCTGCGCGTGCGGTCTCGGGGAAAATACACATGCTTGGGCCGCCCCGTCTACTTGGGCCCTTGAAGCCCCGAGCGCGCGATTCGCGGCAGGGGCAGGCGCGCCGCGTGATTCGGGGCCTTGTCTTGTAGGGCCTGCGTTTGCTCGCGCCCTGGCAGGTAGCAGGCCCCTATCTTATAGCGCCCATGTTTTGCGCCCGAGAGCTCTGTGCTCGGAAATTCAAGTGTGCGTCAGCCGCGGGGCCGTCTGCAAGTTTCGCGCGGCGAGACGCGCCGTCTCGGTGCGAACTGTCAAGGCCCTGGGCTTCGGGGTCAGCTTCCAGCGCGCGGCTGGGGCCAGGGCGCTCTGCGCCCGCTGCAGACAAGCTGGGTCTACCCGCGGTGCCGCGCGGGCCGTTCCGCACATATCCACCCGCTTTGGGTTACATGTGCAGGTTTCCGGAACGGGGAGCGCGGCATCGCCGAGTTCGGTTGCGTCGCCACTCTCCCCCCTCATATGGTTCGGGCGCATGGTTTTGTTTTTGTTGTTTTTTTCCCCCGCTTTGGGTGCGGTTGTTCTCGGAGTCCCGCGCAGTGCGGCGCCGTCTTGGGGCGCGACTGGGGCGCGCGTTCGCACGCTGCGCCACGCGCGCGCCTGCTCGGGCAACGCGGCGCTAGGTGTTCAGTGGCAACATGATTGATCAATAACCGTCGTTGCGCGACCGCTGCAACATCTACCATCATCGTTAACCACCGTCGTCTATTCACGGCCCGCCAAGCATGTTCAACTTATCGTCATCATTGTCTGGCATGCCACCTAAACGCACATGCACCATGCGTCATCATACACGCACCATCACCATCGTCATATACTCACATTTCGTCATGTCGCCGTTGTGCCCAGGCTTTGTCAAGGCAGGGCGCCGCCGACGACAGCCGAGTTTTCTCTTGAGCAGAGACCGCCATGGACGTCCACCTTACTGGAAACTTCAACCTCGTAGTGACTGACCCAAGTCGGCCGATATCGTATGAAAAAACGCATCGACGTCGAGGTGCCCTTGACTCTGCTGATTCTCGGGTCGAAGCCAGGGGAGTCGTCATGCCCGACGGAGAGGGACGCTGGCGGTTCACAGTCGCAGGCGACAGAGCGGGAGGAGCCAGAGGAGCCCACTGTCGTTGAGGCGGGCGCGGAACAGCAGGGAGTGGACATCTCTTTCATAGAATCTGGATGGCGCGCTGAGGTGGCCGAAATTCGGCACGCGAACGGCATGGTGCCATCCGTTCCCACCGACTGGTTGCCCCCCAGGGTAGAGAGGGCGTTGTTCCAACCGCACCGTTTCACTCTGCATGCGGGCGAGGGCGCGTCTGCCCTGGCATCGGGGCAGTCGGGCGCTGAGGACTCAGCCGTATATGAGAGCGCCGACGTCCTCGCCCAGAGGTCTGCTGAGAGCGCCGCGGGCTCTCACGCGGGCGTCGGGGCATCGCAGACCCCGTCAGCTTCGGGCAAGCGCGCCGCTTTCGATCCCAATGAAGTTTTGGAAGTGCCCGATAGCTTGAGCCCAGAGAAGCCCCCGTCCGACGTAGGATCGCAGTTTGCCCCCTCCGAGCCCCGTCATGGTCATGACAGTTTGTTTCCGATGGGCGTGTGTACGCCAGCGAGGGTGCACGACGCAGGCGAGGGCCTGTGGACCCCGACCAAGGCCGTTTCAGACTCGGGCAACAGTATCCAGCCCCCGCTCAAGAGAAAGCGCAATTGGCTTTTGAAGCCAGAGTTTGGCGGCCCTGCTTCCAGCACTTACGACAGCGGGCAGAAGGCCCGATCGGCAGCCGCGGTCCTCACCGCTCCCACCCGAGGAAATCAAACCTTTGGATTTGCTGGGCCACAAGCTCCAGAGCCCTAGCATGGTGCTTAGCGAGCTCTCACAGGCTTTCCCTCCGTGAGTGTGATGGGGCGGCAGGGGTGGCGGGAGTAAGGGATGGGCGGGAGCGGGGCACGCGATGCTAACAAGTATGAGGGGTATGTCGATTGTAATTGGGGTGTGGGGAGGGATGGGTCGAGGCCAGGTCGCCACAATATCAGCCTGTTATGCGTGTGGGCGTGGCGGTGTCGCCGTTTGCTCGCTGCATGGGTCGGCTTCATCACTGCCTGATTCGGGTCATGTTTCAAAGGCGTTTGTGAATTCCAGGTGCTGGGGACGTCTGTGCCACTCAGTGCTCGTCTGCCGCTCATCTTCACTCGGGTTTGAGTGCCATTGCGGGGCAGGGCGCTCAGAGGTTGGTCCAGAGCCATGCGAGGACGTAATTATTGTGATAGTGAACATCCTTCCTCATCGTCGTCCTCTGCCTTAGTCCTTCCACTGCTCCACCCCTCGCGCCCCGCCCCTCGCCCGCCTGGTCACCCTATCCACCCCATGCACGCCCTCGCTCACATCATTTCCGTTTTCATATGCATGCTCCTCTTGATTGTGTGTACTCTCTTCGCCATCTCCAACTCTCCCTCTCACTGCCCCTCCTCAGTCCCCTCCGTCGCCATGGTCATCCCCTTCAGCATCCCTCGCCATCTCCTCGCCAGCACCCTCATCCCTCTCCTCGGTCGTCGTTGCCCTCGGCTCGACTCCTCCTCCTCTTCCTCCCAATCCCTCTCCCCGCGCCCGTGCATCGCTCTGTGAACGCCGGCGCTGGGTCGGCGTCGGCGTGGACGTCTCGGCCGCTGGAGGACAGCCCCGCGCGCCGCTCGCGAGCCCCCCCCGCGTGCGTTTGCAGTCTCCGCCTCGTCCTCGCCACGCGCTCGCATCCCTCGTCGCATTCATTGCCATCGGCTTTGCATGGGCGGGACGTGCCTCCCACGATATCTCTCTCCCCTCCCCCCGCGGGCTGAGCAGTGCTGTCGGAGTGATTGCGGAGCTGCGCGAGAGCGAGGGCGAGCCCAATATCGGGGGCTCGATGGGGCGGGCGCTGGAATTGTCGTCGTGGGGAGTGGGGGAAGGGCGGTTATCATCAGGGTGAGGGCTGGGGCTGGGGAGGGCGATAGTGAAGCTGGTAGCTCAGTGGGTATTCTGAGTTTCAGGAGCAGATCCACAGCCGTGCCGCCCGAATCGAACTCTCGGCCCGATGTGACGGTGAAAGCCTCGCTGCGTTGTCAACGGTGCGACTGTCGCCACTCAGAGTATGCACATCTTGTCGGTGAGTTGACGGTTGTCTGGGCGCCCGCCCCTTTCCGTCTCCATGTCCCTTTTGGCGGATATTGCCATTTATGCTCAAGCAAGGCTTGAACACCGAGCTTTAACGACACCTTTTTGTGTCAGGGCACAGTGCCAGCAGTACCGCCCGATTTCAACACCGCTCTCTCGACATGGGCAAGCGTGGTGACCACAATGCGAAGCCCCCGCAGAAGGTTCCCTGTGGCCAGGGCCGCAGGCGTCGTGGTTCTCAAGATGCCTCTGCCGCTGCTGCCCACTCGGCCGCGTCGGCGCTGGCGAGATTGGCTGCGCCTGACTCCTTCCAGTGCGGCACGTGCGATGTCACCGATGTCAGCATGGCGGTGCAAGATGCAACGGTGCCAACCTGCACTACGTGTTTCGATCGGTACTGCAAGGGCTTCACCCAGTTCGGCAGCTTGGAGAAGGTCCAGGAGGGCGTCAACGAGGAGGGCTCGCACATACACGGATGCTGGGAGGAGTCCAAGCGCATCGAGAAGGGCGAGGCCGCGAAGTCCTTCTTCCCGACGGCCGTCAACGAGGGTAGCCAGTTCATCATCGCGGTCGTGAAGCCGATGGTCGGCATAACCCGCGGGCAGCTCGTCTCAGACGTGCTGCACGAGGAGCCCGAGGCGCTGGGCATCAAGCTCCAGGACTTGCCCGACCACGAGGGGAACACCTACAAGGGCATCTTGGTCCCCAACCCGCAGCGGCCGTACTTGGAGTACAACGTGACGAACGAGATCTACGCCAATATGATTGCGCACAAGATGACGCCAGACCAGCAGACTTTCGATGCGCAGGCTTTGGGCACGTACGATCACGTGCGCAAGGATCGGGCAGCGTTAAGACGCACGCCTCACGCTCGGATGCTTGATCACGGGGCTTTGTTTCCTTATGTTTTCTGGCACGACCCCCCCCTCCACGCGAAACTTGGAGGGGGCGTCGGGGCTTCCCCGACGCTTGCGCTTCGTCGCCCCCGCCCTCTATCGCCAGCTTGCCCCCCTGGATTGTTCCTGGCCGCATGTGCGCCCCTTTGCCCTCTCCCCCTCCCCTGCCTGATCCGCGGCATGGCCGAAGGAATGCCGTGAACAGGGGAGGAGGGGGCGGCGAATGAGATCGCATGACGGCGTTAGCTCGTCGCCGAGACGTTCACAAGCATCTGAGTGCGAGCGTGCGGGGCGCAGTTGTCGCAGGGCCTTTCCACCACTGGCAAGTTCAAGCCCATCTGCGTGAAGGCGCGCACAGAGGCCTACACCATCGATTCCCTGATTGCGAGGGCGGAGAACTACAGGAAGACGCAAGCGGAGATCGAGCGGAGGGCCAAAGAGGCAGAGGATGCGGTTGTTGCTGCCAGTGGCGAGAGCTCGTTCGGCGGCAGCCCTTCGCCCGCGGCTCCGCAGCAGGGCGCGCTTGCAGCGGGGTCTGGGCCGCAGCTCAATCCTGCGGCGATGGCTTGCTCGCGGTCCGTCGTCGCCCCCTCCGAGTGCAGGCCGCCGAGGACGCCTGGCGCGAGGCCTCGCGGAGGCGCCAGATCCGCCATGTCCGATGCCAAGAAGTCCGAGGTGGAGGAGCTCGTGGATAGGCGCATTTCAGCTCTGGACACGAGCAGGTGCTGGTCGGGCGCGGCCATGGGCCGCGAGCTTCGCTGGGCCAGGGAGTCGCACGAGGGCATCATGGAGGCCAGCCCCACCCCAGAGGACTCGGAGACCGCTGACAAGCTGAAGGAGCACATCTCGGTGTTCGATGCGATCTGCGGGATCGTCGAGAAGCCCCTTCGAGAGATCCCGAAGAGCAAGCTCGACAGCTTCCTGAATATCCTGGAGAAGTACAGCGAGGACATGCCGAGCAAGTGGAAGTTGGATAACTTGAAGGTTAAGGTCCTAGGGGTATCGCTGGGGCACCCAACCAGAGGTCGCAGGACTGCGCGCGCGGGTCGGGGTATGGCGGGGGGAGGCGACCCGCGCGCGCAGCCACTGGCCTGTGTTTGCAAACCCTTGCCGTGCCCCGAAGGTGGGCGACCTCTTGAAGAAGCCTGACATGTGCATGCAGGATTTCTTCTATATGATTGCGCCGTGGGAGGTCCAGCACGCCGAGGGCAATGAGAGCCTCACGTACAGGCCGACGTACCCCAGGGTGATCACGTTGGACGGCAGCCAGGCGGACAAGATCAGCCAGCGCGACGCGTTCTTCACCGAGGCGCTGAACCATCACATCCATGCTGGCGAAGGCGGCCGATCCCAACTTGTTCAGTTCTGCACCTCCTGCCTCGACTGGATCGACAACAACTGCCCCGAGGATGAGGCCTTCGACGATGTCGTCAACACGATGGCGCAGTGCTTGAAGGCTCTCCTGTGCATTGCCAGCCCAGACAAGATTGCCTACCACGATTCCATAACTAAAATGGGGGAGGCCAAGTCGCAGTGCCCTGGGCAAGCGTGCCTCCGCCACCTGAACTTGTCGGTGAAGCGCTCGGAGTTCTACACCAGCCTCAGGGCCGTGCGAGTGCGAGTTCACGTTGGCTTTCGTGGGGGGTGCTCGCGCTCTGGAGATTGTGGCCCTTGGGGGTGGGCAGGTGGTTCACGCAGTTTGTGGTGCCTGAGGGTGGCGTGGGGCCTAGTGGGCGGGTGGGCGGAGACGGGTTCAGATCGCGCAATTCGAGGGCGGGCGAAAGACTCGGGGGGGGTGTACGAGGCCGGCCTCGATAATACTAGTGATTGAGCGCGATGCTGGTGGAGGGAGGGCCTGGGTGGGCTAGGGGCGGCTGAGGTTGGGCATGTATGGGTTTAGGTGATCAGGAGTTGAGGCGCAGGGCTGGGCGGGGAAGGCGGCACATCGCCAGATTTAAGGGCTGCACCTTCGGAGAATACGAGCACCCTCCCCCTCAGCGCTTTCCAACGTGAGCTTCTGCCCAGGATGAGTGCACGCAGTACTACACCAAGACGCAGGAGCACTGGCCCGAAGTTTGCAGCCTGCTCAGCAAGATGGAGCAGTGCAAGACCGTAGCGGAGTTTGTGCAGTCGGGTAACATGGCGATCGCTCTGAATAAGGTGGCCATGTTCGCCATGTATTGTCGGCCAGGCTCAATCGACGGCTTCAAGTCTAAGCTGACGGCGCTGTTCGAGAAGTACCTCGCCGACCTGCCGCAGGGCGACCCGTCCAATGACCCGAATGGCAAGGCTCTGACCGCGAGGCTGGCCGAGACAAAGGCGTTGGTGACTGCAGCGAAGATTGGCTTGCCAGAGAAACATTCCGTGTGGGCGAAGGCCTTGTCGGATATCCAGAAGCAGGAGTCCTCCGTGAACAAGTTCAACGCCAGCCAGGGCCTCGGGCAGCTGGCGTCGGCCTTGAA